GGGGAGGTCAGTCGGCAAATGAAGTGAAGACCTCCCTGCCCTGAAAACAATGCAAGGAAAAGAGCCTTGGGGGGAAGCATGAGGGCCTGAAGCAAAGATACAGCTCTGCCTTGTGCTGTATTCAGAGGGACAGCATTTCCATTTGACTCGCTATTGTCCTTTGCTGAGGCCCAACACACTGCACAATGCCTGCCACCTAAATGACACCAAGCATGTAATCCTCTTACTACCCAGATTAGTGCTTCGCAGGCACTGTGTCCACACTCCCACTGTCAGCACGCACATAACGTATGGCCCACCCCACAAAGCAACACAGACAAAAAGCTGGCCCATGCCTCTCCCCATGCACATTCTGCCCACCATGTCCACACTTGTGGACCCCACCAGTGCAGCACAGAAGTGTGAGGGCATCTTTTGTGCAGCAGTGAAACAGCGCTGTTGGACGACTCATTTACTTCATCTAGATACCCTTGTTCACGACCCCCTGTACATTTGTTAACCCTTTGCATCAGTATCACTTGTCATTCACATGTGCCAAACAGGACCCATGTTGTGTAGCTATGCACATCCCTACTGTGGCCACTGACCACCACGCAGGTGACACGAGTAATAATACTCTGTCTAGAAATATCTACCTCAAGTGTCTCTTGGAATAGGGAGACTCGCATCTGGAGAAGACTCTACAGCTGCCTCATATACCAACATCATCTTTATTAGGTCTAGCCCAGGCAACGTGCCAGAGGTACTGCAGTATCCAACCACAGCGGGCCCCTCTTCATCTGGCATGTGATGCCTTAGAGTCCCTGTCAGGAGTTGGAGCTGCTCCCGCATTCAGTAGGAGCAGGCAATACAGAGTGCAGGAGCCAGAATTGCACCTCAGTTCTCTGAACTAAGCAAAACTCAGCTACACAGAGGCTTTTTCCTCAATGCATTTCAGAATACATACCCAGAATACATATTTTAAACCTTCTGTGTTAACTGTCCTCACACACGATTAAATAAGCACAGACTTGGTCAAGATCATCCTCGTGCACAAATGCACATGTAAAACGTGTAAAAGAATACATTCCTCCCATTAGCCACAAATGTACACATGGATCCAAGTGGAAAAAAAGTGCAGAGGTCATGCCTCACAAGTATTCAAATGACTTATATGTAGATAGAGAAATCCAGGAATACCCTCTCTGTAGTAATGTTTCTCAAAGGTTATGAGTGACTGAAGAACCTAAATCTCATTTGTAAAAGCAAGGCAGACCTTACACAGCAGAACCTCCTGCAGAGCCTGTTCAAAGCCCTTTACTGGTGTAAATGAAGTTCAATTTTGCCACCTCATGGAGAAGCAAAAAGGATGGCAATCAGAGGGTGGAATTGGAGCTGGGAGAGCTGCCACCCTCAGGGGTGCCAGAGGGTGACAGGGGAGCAGGAGGAGGACAGGCTGTCATTGCTGCTCCCAGGGAGGCACAGCCACTGGCTCACCCTCCTTGGCCCACATGCTTGGTAATAGCAGACAGCTCAGCCTCCATGGCTCTGACACAGAAAAATAGAGGAACCGTGACTGTTTTGCTGCCACCAGGAGTCTGCTGCCCTAGGCAACTGCCTGCTTTGGTTGTGCTTAGACCTGGCACTCATCACACTGGCCTTGAATGCAGCTTAGGCTCAGGGGACTTGGCTGCTTTGGAAATTGTTAAGTCTGTATTTGTGTTTCTTTCAGCTGTGAGCAGACAGTGGGGCAAGGGAGAGAGGAAAACCAATATAACTGAAGTTATCCAAAAGTTTGGATTCAATATACAAGGAATTACGCTAGGAAGGTAGAAACACCTGCTTAGAGATTCAACTTGGCAACATCAGGAACTGCTGTCAGGTGATCTAATAGAAAATCTCAGTGAAAAGAGAAAAACTGAAAACTAATTTAATCAAAATTGTCAGTGAAACAATTTGAGTTTTCCCTATCGATTACTGCAAACCAAGCTACTTTATCCCACAACCAAAATGGTCTCATTGACAATATATAAAATACATATTCTGAGTTTAAAGTGTCGTTATAGTGTCTTATGGGACACACAACGTGAAATATCTCATGCTCCTATTCCACGTTACTGCCTGGGGTCTTCAGGTGAACTGCCTGTCCCAAAAGACACACTGGTGTCAGTCAGAGGGATTCCATCACCATTGCTGCAGTCACCATGAGCAGTGATGTGTGGCAGGGGTGCTTGGCTATGAAGGGAAATGAGACAGCTCCCTGCTTCCTCACAAAAGGAAAGCAAATAGAAAAGACAGGCAAAGAGACACACTGATAGCAACGGGCATGTAAAGATCCTTCCAGTTAAGCTTTGTAGAGCTGGAAGCTTACACACAGTTTGTTCCACTGAGGAGTGAGTTTGCAGCCAAATACTGACCCCGCTGAACTGAGACCATCAACACCTCTAGGAAAATAGCACAACAAAAGCCTGAATAGCAGCTCATAATTTAAGTCATTAAAGATAAACCATCGCGACCACCAACAAACCTTACAAGCCAGGGGTACTTAAGGAACAATTAGTTGTTGCTTCACCCAATAATCATCAGAATTGACAGGGTTAGATAGCAGTAGTTCTGTCACATGGTGTTAATTAATTTAAAAATACATTTACATCTTATTATTACTAGTAATAAGACATCTTATTATTACTAGTAGAAGTTGTTCTACTAGTAGTAGAACAGGAGGAGAAATGGATTCAGAAATGGAATAGATAGGTTCACCGCTGATGGTGATGCAACATTACGGTCTATCTGTGGCTTTGAATTTCCTTATCTGCTACTGGCTGGGAGTTAGGAAGCTGTGCTTAAGAAAGATCGCTCACTACTTGTTCACTTCCTTTTACTCTTCCCTCAGTATTTACAACTCACCATGCTGAAACAAAAATGAACAAGACAATCTTGCTACCAGTGCCAAGGTGTCAGTTCTTAGGTTATGTTCTACCACACAGCAGGACACCAGCACTCAACCACATGTGCAGTCTTACACTGGAGTGAAAATGTCATCCAGCATCAGCTCAGCCAAATGCATCCAACTGCTGGTAAGAAATGTGGTGACGTTCCCAGTAATTCCCATCTCAGCTCTCGTCAAGGGATAACTAATCTCTCCCCAAATCAAAACATAATCTGCTCGACAGGGAGCTAATAAAAGAAATCCAATTCTGAGGGGAAGAATGACAGGGAAATTTTTAGGCACATAAATTATTAATATAAAAAAGATGTTGTTGTTAAAAAATAGCCCAAGCTGTTGATACATAGTTTGGAGTTACTTTCTGGACAACAACCAAAGCAGCCTGGCTAGGAAGGGATTGTAAAACTCCTACTTTCATTAAAGTCATGAGTAAGACTTATGCCAGGGACTGCAGCAGTCTTGTTACCTTTTTTCTGTGTGAAGCTGTGCAGAAAAGAAATACCCAGCAGGGTACTGAATAAGAAGTCAAACTAGAACCAGATTTCTTTTTAAAACCCAGTTTTCTTCCTGAATCAGTCATCTCACCAACCTACAGTTGGAAAAGAAGATAGATTACATCAGGCATGCTAAAATATCTCCAAATAAGCAATTCCTACTGTTACTGCTCCTCAAAAAACCACATAGTTGATTTGCTGTTGGCTGCCCAGTATTGAAGCTGCTTCTCTTTGCAGATGTCCAAAGCAGAGAGATGTCTAATGAAAACAGACTGACATTCCCAACCCGATGTCTCTCTCTCAAGTTTCCATTTAGTCTCATACAAAACCTGCACTCAGTAAAAGGATTAAATTTCCAATCCCTGTATCAAAGCATATAGGCCCAAATAATTCCCGAACTCCCTTTTCCCACATTCCCCTGCTGAGAGCCATGGACAGCCTCTAAAGAGAAGACTCAGAGGAGCTGCCATCACTTAAGGACTAGCTCTACCCTGCTCTCCCTATGAAAGCCCAACCTTCACCAGTAAATTCAACACTGGTTTTGTTTTTCCAGCAATACTGACTGAGTCAATCAGTGCTGCAGCATCTTTTCAATGTAAAACCCTAAGAAGCTGCAGAATCAATTTCTATTTCACAGCTAAGCAAAGAAACATGGTGCTGTGCTCACAGATTGTAGTGGGCACCAATGCCCCAGATACCTTTTGGAGCTTGCTGGGATCTGATTTGGCCCTAGACATCCCATCTTAATCTACTGCCATGGAAACCATCACATTCCTGGGCACAAGGCCACCTTTTCCTGAGACGGTCTGGGTTTTTTTTGCAGCTCAACTAGAAGTGGTTACTCCCACAACAAAAGAAGGTAATAGTGGTGAAACACTGGAATAGGTTGCCAGAGACGTGGTAGATGCCGCGTCCATTCATTCAAGGTCAGAGCAACCTGATCTAGTTGAAGATGTCCCTACTCACTGCAGAGGGGTTGGATTAGATGACCTTTAAAGGTCCCTTCCAACCCAAACCGTTCTATGATTTTATGATTCTATGAATATTCTAAGTAACAACATAGAGCCTATAAAGAGATTTCTCTTTCCTTTATTTCAGGAAAGCCTTCTGACATATATTGGCCATTGTCAAGACAAAAAAAAAGTGGGCTTGCTGAATCATTGGTACCAGCAAGGACTGTTGACCTTACTGTTTCTCACCAGATGTGAGACAAGAGGGATACTAAAGAAGGTAACTTCTAATAGTAGCTACAGGGAAACCTACAGTAAGATAAAGCATACACTGTACAGTAATATGCTCCACAGCCATCTTGTCAGCAAGGCTGAGTTTGTCAACGTAACAACTGCCTTGCTCACACACAGACATGCCATATGGTTTTTACAACCAATTATCTTCTCCCCAGCTAGAACACATCCCCCTACTAAGCCAAAACATGCAACTCCTGGTCCACATCAAAGTCTTTGAATATTTTTTCCACCAAGGCCAGACAACTTTGCCCAAGGGACTGGAAAAAACCCACCTAGCACCTATGAAACCCACCAAATCAAACACACCTGAAAGGAGAGAAGGGGTTCCTCAGAAGGAACCACAAACAAGAAAAGCAAAGCAAGGCACCACATTTCCTTCCTGCAGAGCTTGCTGTGACATGGCAAGGGAGCAGCCACCCACATCAGGACATGCCAGTCCCACTGAGCTACTGGTCAGCTGAAGACAAAAGCACTCTCTATCAAGAAATAACTAGAAGGCCCCTTTTGAATCTCTGTTTTGGAATCAAACCTAATTTTAAAGACTCCAGATCTGCTGTAAAATTGAATTCTTGCTTTCAAGACAGTCACAGTTAGGGCTGTGGTCATGGCATGGAAGTACCCAAGATTGGAAGTATTCTGCTTCAGAAAGACCTTCCAAACATATAAGCACCAACAGCTCCTAGTTTTGAAACAGGATTGCAGGTTCACTTGCTATCATCACTGAAAGACAAAGAATCAAATGCTCATAGACACAGCACGGCTGAGACACAGTGTGAGGAACTAAATCCTTTCCCCTTTATTCTCCACACCCTGAGAGTCAGTAACAAGCACCCTTGGGACAGCAGTAGTGGTGGAAGGGAATGGTCTTAAGTAACCCTATAACCACAGTGCACTGAAGGGAGCATTGGTGGCTCATACAAGATGAATGCAGGGTGCCACACCAGGGTTGATGTGCCACCCAGCACAGCACAGAGGAGAGCTTTGTCTGAGCTACCCACTGTAATGACATGTTGCAATTCATTGCAAGTCTTGCATGGCTTGAAAAGGCTGAGAGCTTTGTCACTGAAGCCAGTGGGAGCAGGAGCAGCCTCAGGTAGACACAGCAGTGAAATTCTGTTGTCACAGGGTCACTGCAGAGGGATGTCAAGCATAAAAGTTTTGTGGCTGCCATCTCCTGAACTGCTTTTCTGCAGGTGCTCAGAGGCAAGCAGTTTACTCCAAAGGGTGATCAAGGCTGGAGCTCAAAAAGAGATAGATCCAACTGCTAATACAAACCAACCTGAAAGGCCAAGGGTTTCTTCTTGATTTGTATTCCCTCCACTGATCTGTGACCCACTCTGACCTCTCCTTCTGACCCCTCACCTCTGGCACTCGGGTGGAGAATTAGTCACTCTAAGTAAGGACACAGACACTGGGGCTGTGGTCCATGCTGGTTTCCTGAGGATCAGGGCACTGTAATGCCCTGCAGCATGTGTCCCTCCTATTGGTCATCCATCTTCCATGGTTCCTCAGCAGAAAGGCAATTTGCTGAAGGGTGCTCATGTCAGAAGTGTTCTTGTCATACAGTAGGGAGGGAGGAAAGTAGGAAAGGTAGGTTGTCCTAAGTTGCCTGCTTGCTACTGCCTCATTTTTCCTAATGGGCAGCAGAGATGGCAAATCAAGCTCTCCAGCAGCAATGCTGAGAGGATGAGACAATCCATGAGTCACTATGGGGATGCAGAGCTCCAGAGATTCTGTCTTATGGGTGGACCAAACACAACTGGGACCATATGAATGACTTCTTACCAAACAAGATGTTAATCTCATCAGAGGGCTCAATCAACAAATGCTGACTGCATTTCCTGAGGGTCTACCCTGGTCCCATGGGAGGAACAACAGGGACACAGAATTGAAACGGATGGCTTGCTCCCACTGCGGTCTCTCTAGATTTGCAATTCAATTCAATAAAAGATGGAGCAGGCTGCTGGTCTGCCTTTGAAAGGGTCAGAGGGCTCAGAAGCAGCAGGAGGGAAATGGAGGCAGAGCACAAGCAGGAGAAGAGCCAACATTATTCTTCTTCATTCCTAAGTGAATGTTCTGCTCCTAGGGCACAAGGAGCATCTCTCTGACTGAATTGCCAGCAGGACCAGAAGAATAAGCAAGTGCTGGATGGCAGACACACACCATTTAGCAAGTATACATGTGACCCAAAGTGAGGGGAGCAGCAGCTTACAGACCGAAAACCTTTGCCTGGGGCACTAAAACCAACTTTTTTTACTTGTGTCCACAATCTTTGCTCTACCACCTTTAAAGCACCCAAAAAATGTTTTCTGTGTTGCAACCAAAGACAGAGCCAGTGTGTTATATCAGAGCATGAGAGCTTGTTTGGTTTTGTGTGAGTTGAAAGGGGCTGCCAAGACCTGCAAAGCCCCAGAAATATACACTGAAGTGTACTAGGAGACCACTGTGATTTATCCCTTTGCCTCTAATCCCTTGAGAAGATGAGGTAATGCTGTAGGCAACACTGCCTAATTGCCGGTTGCACTACGATGACAAAAGCAATCGAGTCACACAGAAGAGGACCTTAAAAGCTTGAGGAGAAAACACCCTCATTTAACCACCAAAACAGACAAAATGAGTAAGCAAGCTCCTCTCCTTAACATTTCAGTTTGTCTTTCTTGCTCAAGTTCAGACAACACTCGTCACAAGAAGTCACAGCTACCTATTACAGTGTGTCACATTAGCTCACAGTACAGTCTCGTCCCACATCCGTGATGACAGACAGATCTACAGGTTGTCAGCAGCAAGGCTGTGTTAAACTACATGATGAGAACTTCCTGTGTTCAGTCATGTATGCCTGGATCAGGCAGGGTGGTTGCTGGATGCGCCTCCATGTCTGCTGCTGGGAATTACGTCAGGCAAGATGATACAGATGGACCTTTGCAGCCTTTGGAACTGGATCTTCCCCAGGTCCATTTCTGTCTAACTTCATATTCCTCTCTCCTTTTTGACTTTTCTTCTGATGGGACTCGCTATTGCTCAGTACCTTTGTGCTGTGTCTCTCCAGCCAGCATTGCATTCATGTCTTTCCCACAAGCTTTTCTGAGGACAAACTGACAAGAAGCAGACCTGTCAATGCAATGGTGTCCCAGCTCCCATTTTCCAGTACTAGGAAGAGTACATGGGAGCTAAAGGGGAAGCTTCAGCCTGAACTTCAACATAGGAGAGGGAGCTGCAGAATGCAACACTGAAGGTTCTATACTTAGTGCTAGAGTAGGTATAAACATCAAATGTTTTTGGAGAAGGGGGAAAGGATTCACAAGATTTGTCCTCCTTCAGCTGCTTGTTTTTATAGCTCCTCTAAATGGGAAGAGTCTTGCACCCAAACACCTGTTTTACTCACTCCCACTAGCAACGATGGTGCACATTTTCTGCCTTTACTTTCATATCTTTCTAAGGCAACTTTTTTATTTCTTCACTGCTCCATAGTGTAAGCTTGGAAGCTTCATACAACAGATTGCAAACAGTGTTGCTTAGACTTTTATTGAGATACAAGTTCTGACTAAACTGGACATTCGATGGAGCTACACCTCTCCGAGCCCTACCATACTTCTACTTAAAGGCTAAACAGGCAAAACATTATTTCTCTTCTATGCACTGATTTACCCATTTCTAGCGTATTGCACGTCAGCCTCTACCCAAGTATTCAGTGGATAAAATTCACCTGTATTGCAAAACCATTCAAGAAAGCCAACCATCTTTGCCAAAGATCAAGGCCAAAGCCAGGGCCTCCTTCATTCTTCTCTATTTGTCAGGATTTAACTCATCTTTTCAGAGCATTTGGCTCAGGCAGCTTCAGCAAAGTGCAAATCCCAGCCGCTTTGATCTCATGGATTCAAAAGTCAACTATTTCCATTTCTGTGGCTACATGCTTCCTGTACTTTGAACTTGCTTTGAACTTGGGGTTTGAACAAACTTAGGAGCTTCCAGTCATAATCAGTGAGATTTCATGTAGGTGAAAAAAAAGAAGAAAAAAGGTGTTCTGTATGGATCAAACATTAAATCAGCCTTGGGTTCAGTCAGAAAGGTCAGATGAACTTCCTAATGAGCCCTACCTGAGTTTTAAGCCTGTACCGGCAGCTGAAACTAGTCAAATTTGACTCCATTTCAGGTTTTATTTCCCATGTTTCATGTACTTCTAGACCTCACTGTTTTCAACATGTATCATTTGGTTATTACTCCTGATTTGAAGTTGTACCAGAAGAGAAGAAGGTGGCCAGACTGTTAAATCTCTCCTCCATTACTCAATTTTGACAAGGCCATTTTTTTTCTATAGTATGCTGAGGGTATTTCATTTGGATGTAAAGTAGAAGTCACAGATGTCCTTATGGTAAAGCTTGGGCCCTGATCCTGAAGGCTTCCCCAGATGGAGGGCCCATGGCTTGATTGAGATTGCTGAGGTGTCCACAAGTGCTGGGTCTGTGCATTGAGACCTTTGGCCTCACTAGGGTAGCAAAGCACACTGCTTTTTGGGCAGCAGCACATCCGTCCACTGTGGATGCTACAGAGCTCTGTCTCAGCGCATGGTATAAGTGGTGACCCAAATGGAAAACAGCACAACAGCTTGCACTTACAAGGTGAAAGGGCTGTGGTTGAAGCCAGAAGCATCCCAGCCATCCACCCTTCCTGGGTGCTGCCGTTCTTCCCAGCCCACAAAATGCAGACCAACCAAAGCTTTTTTCCCTCGCTATTTCTTCCTTGCCTTATGTCACCCTGTGGCACCTCAGGGGGTGAGGTCTCATAGCTCATTATAATCCATCTGACAGGTTCAACAAGAGTATTTCTTCTCCTTTCTTTCTGAAGACTGCTGCACAGGATCGCATTAGGTGCACCTATATAATTCAAACTTGAATGATGCTTATGCAGTAGTGAAAGGCTGAAATCATAGAATCATAAAATGTTTTGGGTTGGAAGGGGCCTTCAAAGGACATCTAGTTCAACGCCCCTGTCACGGGCAAGGACATCTTCATCTAGATCAGGTTGTCCAGTACCACATCCAGCCTGGCCTTGGATGTGTCCAGGGATGATGCATCCACCACCTCCCTGGGCAGCCTGTGCCAGTGTTTTACCACCCTCACTGCAAAGAATTTCTGAGCTGCTTCTCTGATTTGCTTCAAGCTGAGTGATGGAGAGGGCATGAGCACAACACAACAAAATAAGAGACCAAGGCATAGCCCAATGCAGCTGCAGTCCTCCTGTTTAGACCACGTTTACAAACCAAGGTGTCTTCTGCTTTGTCTCAACAGATTGCTTGAAGGTGCACAAAGAGAAGTGGTGTAATCTCTACTCATGGAGATACTCACACCTCACCTGGGTGATGACCTGAGCAACCTGGTCTGATTGGTTCTGCTTGGAGCAGGAGCTGGTTCTAGAGAAGTCCCTTTCCACCCCCTTTATTCCGTCATCTTTCAAATTGTTTCACTGCAGCATTTTTGGGCAAGAAAATCAATGGAATGCAAAGTGCTCATTATAAGGGTATAAATATATTAAAAATAGACATATTCTCCCATATAGCAAACTCTAGTCCTTATTAGAGCAGAGAAATATGAACTCTGTTTTAGCTGAAGCCGTTGCATCTCCTTTCCACTTATACAAATCAGGTAAAAATATTCAACTGGGTCTTATGTCTACCTTTTTTTTCTTTCTAATAGGTTTTAGCTAGCTCAGAACAACCCAGCTATACCATGGGTATAGCGTTCAGCTCCAACTCAGAGATTATTAGGATCCTGTTCCACCTAAGAATTGTGATGCGGAAAAGGTGCAGGAATTGGAAAGAAGAATATTCCAATTAAAACTAGGAAGTGTAGACTACAAAGAGAGACTGTGAAATGGTGATGAGGAGTAGAGGAAAGACAAGCAGAGACTGTCAAACAAGCAGCAGGAATGCAAAGAGATGGAGATTTTAATAAGAAAATACATAATCACTAAAGCTAGTCAGAAACTATTATAGTTTTCTCTGGAAACACTTCTACAGCATTGTGAATTACTGGGAGTTTGAGTTTGGGTTTTTTTCCTTAGAGACTTTCTTCAAACACAGAAATGTTTTCAGTACAAACAGGGAAAATATATTTCTGAGATTTCCTCTATTTTTTTTTTTTTAAGAAAGTATAAAGGAAAATATTAACTTCTCTGACTGGAATCACAGCTGTCACTGAATCTTCCACTGCGCGAAGTTGCAGTCACCTTCTAGAGTAATATGCAAAGCAAATGGCAGCCTGGGGCAGCTTGGCTGTTGTCAAACCATTATCTTTCCAGCATTGTTATTTCACATTTAATGGTAAGAATGTTACACACTCTTAATATTCCTTGGGAGAAAAGACACACCACAAGCAGATTATTAGAGAGAAATAACTTCGTATCTAACAAGGTAATTGCTGAGATCTACAAAGCTACAAATATGAGATTAACCTCCTTCCTTCCGTTCTTTTCCTCCACCCCAATTCTCAGCTTCCACTTGTGTGTTCTGCAGCCATTAATGAAATCTTTCTTCCTATGATACTGCCAAATGAGCTCCTCTATACACAGCGGCAAGGGCAAATAATCCATCACCTTGCTGTCTGCAACTCGTGAAATACTGAGCACCAGACAGTCTTACAATACAAAATGCTGACTTCTCATATTTTCCTAATGTAAGGCTGCAGATAGAGACAGTGATATAAAGATTTCAATGATTCCTCTGGAATATTTGCTAAAGAGCTATTCTGTGAGAGAGGAATCTTGGGAAAACTCAGGTCCCAAAACACTGGTTTATCAAAAGCCCCAATTTGTAATGGTTACCAGACATGCAAACAGCTATTGTCTGGAGTAGGAGGGATACATGAAGCCAGGGTCTAGCTTCAGCTAGAGTTTGCTGCCTGCACCCCCTGTTCTCTGCTCTTCTTCTAGCATTAGCTTGATTTAAGATTGTGCCATTAAGACACGGGAGCCTAAGGGGATGCCCAGAGCAAATATATAGATTGTTCTTACAGTTTTTCAGGATCATACACCAGTGATGTGCTTCCCATCTTTGCCTATAGGACCGTTTATGAACTGGTTGCCAGGATTATTCCTGCAGAGATTTTTTGATGGCAGTTTATTCTTCTCATGTAGAAGTCATCAACTGCAGAAGCGATGTCATGCTATTCTCAAAATGCTTGTGTTTCCAGAAAGGAGTGTGGCAGAGGCTACAAGCAATGTCTATGGGGAGGAGGAGGGAGAGGAGAGTGGATTTGCTTCCATACAACTCAGCCTTCCTCTCTTCAGATGAAGTAGCATCACTGTGCCATGCACACCCCAGGTCTGAATAGCCAAACCCATCCTGTCGTGCAATCACATCCTCACTTATCCAGTCATTTGGTACCCTGAGCCATTGCTTCTCATTTTCAGCAGGCCTGTGTAGAGAATTACTGTTGCTGTTTGACAGATGAACATGAAAAAGAAGAAGACAAAACATTGTAATAGTTCTGATCTGAGCCAAAATTCACATGCTTGGGGGAACTTTCCTTGCCAAATCAATGAACAAACAAACAAACAAACTCCTTTTTTCCCCTTACTTTGGCTCAAAGGAAGCATCTCGTTCAATTCAAAAGGAAACAGTCCCTTCCATTTTCAGTGAATTTAATAGCAACAAATGATGGGAATAAAAGACTAGAGGCAGACATTGCTTTATTCAGCAGTGCGCTGGTAAAAAACACAAAGCACAGAGGGGCTGCTTTCTCCAGCTGATGGAACTGTGAAATATTCAGGTTTCTCCATTTTACATTTACCTCCTCTTCTATAGGAGCTTCTTATGTAAGTTAAGGTCAATCGTCACATTGCTCTGCTTCGTACTACACATGCAACGCATGTAACCAACCTCTTTATTAAAGCCATACAAAAAGGATTGAAATATGTTATAGAAAGTGGAACAGCTCCAGCAGGAGGGAATAAAAGAGCTTTGCCCCAGAAAATCTGGGGGAGAAATACAATTTCAAGCTGATGAGGCAGAGGCAGGGATAAATCCTGTGTCTCCAGCACTGAGTGAATGTCTGGAGCAGACATCTGGGTTAACATGGGCCCTTCCTCATCATCATCCAGTTTAGGAATTTAGCTTCTTACTCCTTTAAGAATGAAACTAACAGGAAAACAAAAAACACAAACCAAACCAAAGCCAAAACCAAACCCCTTTTTGCCTCTACCTAGCAAATTTAATTGTAATTATTGCATGGCCATGGCTGACTTCATGATTATCAAGAAATAATTTATTTACCAAAACCATTCGGTTTTGCCTCATTCTGAATTACATGCTAAGTTATTTGAATCAGTGATGGCACTTCTTAGATCCAGTAGAGTCATTGCACGATGCTATGCTAAAACCCTAAAGTTCTTCAGGGCCCCTTGACACTACACTGAGACATCAAACAGTGGAAAAAACTCAAACCAGATCACCCAGTTCCTAAGGATTACTCTATACCTGAGTTCTTCCCAGCCTGTTTATCCCAAGATTTTTCATTATCCCTAAAAGAGTTATTAGTCCAAATGATACTGACATTTGATAAATGTGGATTAACTGATGTTCTAAAACTCCAGTGAAAATCTCAGCCTTAGGGAACGTGAGCAGCAAAACAAAAATCACCATGGGAGCCTTCAAGAGTATTAAGACTGGCATCCTGAGGCAGTGGGAATGGCTGGGGAGCCGAGCAGTGGGAAGAGCAGCATCTCAACCACAGCTCACCAGCAACAAGAGGCAAAAATTCACAAGTAAGCTAAATACTGCTCAATGGAGCAATGCAAGGCTCGGTGAGAATGGCTTTTTGGAACTCCAAGTCAGTCACCACAGACCCTGGTGAATCTAAACTTTCTCCAGTTATCCTTAGCCTAAAGGACTTAAAGGGGGCATACAAGAAATCTGGAGAGGGAATTTTTACAAGGGCAGGTAGTGATAAGACAAGGGAGAATGGCTTTAAACTGAAAGAGGGTATATTTAGATTGGATATAAGGAAGGAGTTCTTCCCTGTGAGGGTGGTGAGGCACTGGCACAGGGTGCCCAGAGAAGCTGTGGCTGCCCCATCCCTGGCAGTGTTCAAGGCCAGGTTGGATGGGGCTTGGAGCAACCTGCTCTAGTGGACGGTGTCCCTGCCCATGGCAGGGGCTTGGAACTGGATGAACTTTAAGGTCCTTTCCAAACCATTCTGTGATTCTTGTGCCAGTAAAAAAGCTGGGTGGGAACGGGCCAGGTAGTGCCAGCTATCTCGGAGGGCAACTTGACAGCTCAGATAGTGCATTCTCCCCGCCTGGCTCAGGTCATCTTCTGCCCCTGTGCATCTAGAGCAGGTGAGTGCTGTTAGCCCGTTCTTTTCATTTGGCTTCAAAAATCAGTGAAATCCATTTTAGTTTTACTTATAACTGTTTAATTTCCACATTGTCACTGTTCCCTGGGAATCTGGCTCTCCTCGTGGCATTCTGTTCTTTAATTACTTTTTTCCTGGAACTTAAAAATAGCAGTAACTACAGAAAAGGTTCTGCTAGGTTATTTTAAATAAATGAAGGCCTTTGAAAAAGAGCTCTTGGCTAAAATGAGCTAAAGGTATCAGCTGCTATGTTGTCCACACCCCATGCTCTCTAAATGTGCTGCATCCAACCTGCAGTAGGAACTTCTCATGTAACAGAGAGTTTAACATGACCAAATCTGGTCATTTTAAATTACACAGTCCTCAAGATCTGGTTTCTGCACTCTGTATCTTTAAACCTCCAGAAGCATGGCAGGAAAGATGTGCATGACGAACCTTGATGCAAACCCAAATGTTCTTTTTTGTCTTTCCCCCATGAGTTAAATTAAAAGTCATTTAGCAGTGGGTTTGCATACATGGAAACACAGCAAGCCACTGAGCTGTATTGTAAACGCATATGCAATTGCTGTACAGGGAGTAATTGAAGCGATGAAACCTGTTTGCAGTGCCCAGCCAGCATATGCCAGGGCACTGGCTGAATTTTGGGAATGAAAGGTAGACTGACCGGGAATGCCAGTCCTGCAACCCATGCAGATGGAGCAGAGCTTCAAGCTGGGTGAGAATCAGTGCTTCCCAAACCTAATTTCAGGGAAAGAATTCCTTAGAAAGGAAAAGAGAATTTCATTTCGCAGGACTCAAGTAGTCCCTGAGCTCCTCACTGATACTGGCAAGCAGGCTGAAATATTGCCAGTAGATTTTTAGCATGGTTTCTAAGGAAACAAGGCCTTTGTAAGCACACAGGACTGCGTCTGCCTGTGTGTGTGTATGTTAGCCTCTCAGATGCCCTTCACCTCCAATAGCTTTTGACCTCATTGACTGATTTCAAACCAACTTTGCTGAAGGTGCTGAAGGTACAGTGTTTATACAAGCATTGGGAAAATAGCTTGATCGCATAAAGGCTGAGCTGTTCATTCTGCCACTGGCAGAAAGGCTAACAAATCCACTCTTTCCACACTTTAAGGAATCCGGAATATTGGATGCTGTACTTCATTATTTCTGCACATCATGGATCTGGTTGATTTACCCTTTGAAGCATTACCCAACCAGAATAAGCCCATTCAAAAGCCCCTTCTAACACTGACCCACACTTCATGCAAACTGATGCTGGCAAAGAGGGTACAGGCATAAACTTCATTGTCTAATGCATCATGTTTGGCAAGGAGCAGGAGGGCTGAGCATGCACTTCAGTCTCAGCTGAATGGGCTTTGGGCTGTTGGATTCCTTCACCTGGGAGCACATGGATTATTTGACCAAAGCTCCCGAAATCCCTTGACTTGGTTGCTTGTATTGTTGGTTTTCATCTCCATGCTGACTCTGCTCTCTGAATGTAACCAGAGAGAGTGTCTCTAGGAGGGAGGGAATTGAGGGCGCCAATGAAGCGGAGATGTACTTAATGCAGACACCATTAATAAATCACTGATAGTTAAGATATAGATTGGGTGATGGGTGGCAGATGGGAAGGAGGAATGTCAAATTGCTTTTCTCATATAGATTATTGGATTAACAAGGAAGCAGCGGGCATGTGGCAAACCGGTGTAACAAATTACTATCATAAAGGAAAAAATGGAACTCATTGCAGGCTGGTAATAATGCCATGTCGGCCATTAGCTCTCTGGAGAGGTACTT